AGCATGATTCGTTTTATAGAATACTTCCATTATCTCCAAAAACAATTTCAATCGGTGCATGGAAGTCTGGGCTCTTAACGCCTGCGGCTCCCTGCTCAACAACTGAAGGCATTCTCTTTGTTTTCTTTCATTATTATCAGAAATGACCAAGTCTTGTTCGCAAAATGTCACACAACAAATTAATTTCAGCGTGGCACTTTGCTTTGGACCAGAGGCGTTTTAATTGAGTTGAGAATATAAATTAATTTACTGAAGGAGACAGATCTAATTGGAAAGAAATGTGTATTAAAAGATTAGTGGCCCGTATTGTCTCCGGTCGCACTCATGAAGCAGACTATTGTTGTAATTTCCTTAATGTTATCATTTCTGATGTAATTGGTGCTTGGGAACCTGACAGCTTTTCCAATTAAAATGTTTGATTTTGAGCACCCCCTCTTTCATCTCAGACAGAAACAGGAAGCACTGTGTTCTTTTATAATTATCAATTGCTTAGACAACTCAAAAAGTCAAAGTTGTTGTAGGTCATGAAGAAAGTCTAAAAGTCTAAAAAATGTGAATGAACGCTATATGCAATGCTTATGAATGCTGTGAACGGTGGCACAGCGGTTAGCACTTGTGGTTCTCAGCCCAAAGGATCCTTGGTTCGATTCCGCCTCCAGACAGGGCCTTTCTTCCCGAATGTATTTCTGATTAGTCCTGAATTAGAATAGCAGTCGTCTTGGAGGCTATTGGTCCACAGGGAGTGTCCATAAATGTTGATAAATTAAATGTCCCAGATCATCACTGTCCTTAGACAGTACCTTTCCTGCATTCCTGCAGGCTGGATATATAGTGCTGGATCTATAGTAAAGGCAACTTTGCTCCCAACACTGTGTGGAATGAGAGGAGAAGAACTGTAAGGTGCTTTGTGACTGTGTCTGTGAAAGGCACTACATAAATAAAGATTTCTTTATCAATATAGGGCCGTAACCATTCATCGATTAATCTCTTGTATGTTATTACAAGCGACAGTAATCTATTCATTATTTTCCAGCAATCATAATGAGATGTGATTATAAGACTTGAACAAAGCAGGAATCTTTCAAAAATGTCTCAAATGTATGATAAAATAGATTTTTTTCCTTGGAAATATTGATTAAATGTTCACTGGGATATTCACTGCAAATTTCTTTTTTATCAAATAGATACATATCACATATTCGCTTTTGAAATAACTAATTAATTAATCAAAGGACTAATAGTTGAATGTATATTACTACTACTGCATTAGTCCTGGATCCACAGCCTGTCTCTCCCTTGGAGGGGATCTCTCTCTCTCACTATGGGCCTCTCTGAGGTTTTTCACTCTTTCCCACTGGGTTTTTCGAGTTGCTCCTTGCCGATGCTGGAGGTCCTAAGGACAGTGATGATCCGGGACATTTATCAACATTTATGGACATTGGTCATGCCTTCCCCTATGGACTTATGGCTCCTATGTGTGTGTTATTATTACATTTCCTGTGTTTTAACAGATTGATTCTATGATTTGTGTAGGCCAATCAATACATTTGTAAAGTCTTCCGAGTACTACTGTTGAGATTTAGGGCTCTACGAAATATATTTAAAGGGACTGGAACATTTAATTGTGTTGGAACAAGTAGCAGGATATGAAACAGTTAAAAGCACATTGGACCATGAGCTGGTTTGTAGGAAACATTACTGTTTTTGGTCTGTTCACTGGTATAGGCAGATATCACCAGACCAGGATTGGAAATGAAAAAGCTGGATTGGTGCATCTCAAGAAATAACTCAGAAAATGATAATATCACTCAAACATTATGATATTTCTTTACACTTAAAATGATATAGACTCTTTACAAGCAAAGTGACTTATTGATGATTCTGGCTCACAGTCCAATTTCAAAAAATTCCGAGATATTTTATCAACATTCTAACTTATAAAGTGTCACTTTGCATGTTATCTATCTATCATATATTACTCTTATATTTTGAAGTTACAGAAGCAAATGGACTTGAGTTTCACCTGTGTTAGAACGAGCAAGTTTTGTCTTTCTTCAAGCAGTTTCCTCATTTTGTTTTGAATTCCAATGATATTCAAAATGTAAAATATTGCGTGTATACACTTGAAGTTCATTTTTTGTATTTTATATGAGTTAAGTACTTACACAATAGTATAAGTATTTTCATTTCCCATGACATCTTTTGGATCCTCTTCTTCTCGAGGCTGGGTCATCTATGTTGTGACTTTACCAGGTATTTATGATTCAAGTTCAGGAAAAATGTACCATATTTGAATGTAATCTGTCTCTTAGCTGCTCAGTTTGCCTGGTAGAAAGTGGCAAAGGGGCCGGTGGAATTCTGCTTATGTGGCACCCCGGCTAAAGTGAGGTCATTGTGTGTATTAGTCATGAGGAGAGAATGCATTGTGGGGCTTTTTAAGACATTGCCACCGTCCGCATTGTACACACAATGAGAGCCATACGCGCTCACTTGAACTGGCTTCAGGGAACAATGTGGAAGGTTTTTCTATTAAGTCAAAGGTGTAAAGAAGCTAGTACTACTTGTTCACCACATGTTTGGGCGGTAGACTTCTGCTTTTGTCAGATGTGACTCGTGATGCTGTGATGTGTCTCTTATCAACTGTTGTTACTGGAGGTTTTTTCTGCTTTCCTCCCACTGGGATTTTTAGTTTTTCCTTGCCGGTGCAGAATCCAGGACACATTACAATAAAGTTTATGAACAACTTTTGGTCATTGGAACATTGGTCATCCGTCCCGTGTTTTTTATCATTGCATTTCCTGGTTTTGAACTCTTTGATTCTCTGATCTGTGTTGGCGAATTCCACAGTTTTGTAAAGTCCCCAGACATAACTACTGTTGTAATTTAGGGCTATAAAATGTTTTAATAGAATTTGAACTGGATACGGCCAGTCAGTCAGGCAGTGTGAGCCAAGGTGAAGGCCCCCTCGTCTCTGTTCATGGCCCATGCGCCCCAATTCCTGATTTCATTCCCCTCTTGTATCCGTATTTATGTTTTTCTGTTCCTACTGTTTGCAATACCCCAGTTCAGAATATGATTTTTCCTTTTGCTTTGGCCAGATATTGCTGATATGAGGTAGTTCTGTTGCTGAGGGGGCTTTTACCTCTGCACATCTTATCAAAAGAACCTTCTAAGCCTGAAAATGCACAAGAAAACATAATCAACTTTTTACATCTATTGTTTACCGGCTCTGAAGAAGAAAGTTTCAGAATAGAAGGACGCCAGCCACAGTCCATTGTTTTAATTTCAGTTCAATACATAATAAAAAAAGTGTCCATTCCTTTACATTTACATTCTAAGATTGTATCGTTAAACCAAACAATTTAAATATAGTCTTCCAAAACTGAGCACCAAAGATGTTCACAATTTTCCAAAGTCTTATGGGAAAGTAATCCCCAACTGACCATTGTTGGCTTAAGATAAACTTACATTCATGCGTTTTGACCTTTATAATTTCAGCTCCCTCTTTATTTTAATTCAGACATATTAGAGAATTGACTTTGACTTTGAAAAAAATGCAAATCCATCTCACAATGTCCTTTGCTCCAGTCAGACTTCACAGTAAAATCTTTGCAAACATATCATATTTACATGTTATTTTGAATAATTGAAACCAAAGAAACAAACACAACAGCTTTCACAGATTTACAGGCGTTTACAGTTATCTCTTTAGTATCTACAACCCACTTCACTAAAAAGCACTACTGTATATAAGCCAGGGGTCTCCAACCTATCACCAAATCTTTACAAGCAGCTCCTCGAAGGATTTCAAAATGACAAATTATCTGACAATAACTTTAAATTATATTATTCACATGCTATTATTACTATTGTACATGTCGACCTTTACTCCCTGCACTAGTAACTGAATACTTTGCATGTCGCTTCACTCAATTTATTTTGATGGCTTTATAGCTGGAGTATCTAACTTTGAAACCACAACATGTTAAACTTACGTCTTTATTATAATAAAGTTAGGGATTCTATACTTGCTTCTTTGTTGTGCTATAGTTAGAGATTTTATGTTGGTTTTAGAGATATTGTTCATTTATCTTGTGCTGTGTGCTCCTCATTCTTACTGTCCTGTAAGTGATGCAACCCTGAAATGTACTCCCCTGTGGGACAAATAAAGGATCTCTCCATCTTAATCTGAATCTTAATAATAACTATGTTATCAAATCCATGTAACTCAAGGGTGTCAAACTAAAGGTTTATTTTACTTTTATAAGCCATTATTTATGAATCCCTTTTTATTTAGATTGAGTTTGGATTTTATTTTTTGGTAGAATTTTCTGAACATTATGAATTCAGTTTTTGTTTGGCTTTAATCAAAAGTGGATCCATGTAAAACAAGAGATGTAAATAAAGACTGATAGGAAAACTTTTTATATTGTATTTAATCTCTAATTGCGTGATGGGTTAAAATGTTATAATACAATGAATATGTGGGTTATGTATTGAAACAAAATAGCTTTAAAATGAAGTATAACATGGTGTGGGTGTGTGTGTGTGTGTGTGTGTGTGTGTGTGTGTGTGTGTGTGTGTGTGTGTGTGTGTGTGTGTGTGTGTGTGTGTGTGTGTGTGTGTGTGTGTGTGTGTGTGTGTGTGTGTGTGTGTGTGTGTGTGTGTGTGTGCGTGCGTGTGTGTTACACCTGTATTATTGTGAACTGAAAGTTATTATAATTTAAAATTCCAAGTGCCACTAAAAAAGGTCTTATAAGTCTGAGTGTATTTAAAATTCAACTCAATTAAATCTATTCTTGTATAGCATGATTACATACCGTCTAATCATGAAGTGGTAGTGGTCTCATTTGTTCACAAAATGTTATTTAAACGAGACTCTTTCTTTTGGGACTAATTCAAAGTTATATATTCCAGCTTTAAAAGGTGTGCCCTTGCCATTTTTGTACTGGAAAGGTTGGAGACTCCCGATACTATATGCATTCGACTGGAGGCTCCGATTATAAATAGGAAGATGTCTTGAACTCGTCGGGCACCTCGCTGTCCAGTTTGCAGATCACCTTATAGATGGCCTTCTTCCAGGAGGGATCCGAGTCTTTGGACGCAGAGATGGCGTTGTAAAATTCGTGCAGGGTAATTTCTGCGATCTCCAGGAATCGTTCGGGAACCTGCAGCAAGGAAGAGAAGAAAAGGTGAGCTGCTGGTTAGTTATTCCATATGAATCCTTAAAACGATGCGGAGGGGGCCAACGTTCCTCAAAACACACAAAGTAATACGTCTTCAAACACTGATAAAAGGGAGCGCTCTCTTTGTTCTCCTCGTGAGAAGTGCATCAATGCAAGCATTAACTTTCAATTAAAGGCTTGCTTTGATTAGCTGCCTCGGTTTTCTCCAACATGAACTTGAGTTGGCTTTCATTGTGAGTGGTTTAAGGCGAATCACCAATCACCCCGTGTCCCACAGGAGTCAAACCGATACAATAAAGACATACATATGAAACTTGTGCGATTACTGGTGTGCGTTTGCTGGGCAGTAAGGACTGTATAGGAAAAGGTGTGCTTCATTATTTAATCTCTTTCAATGTCATTAAAGGCCTGAGACCTGGATCTATAGCTTGTCCGTTTGTGGGAGTGGGTCCTTCTCTCAATGACGGTTTCCCCAAGGTTTTTCACTTTTATCCAATTGGGTTTTTTGAGTCATTCCTAACCGATGCAGGAGGGTCTAAGGACAGAAATGATCCTGGACATTTATGAACATTTATTAATATTTATGAACATTGATAATCCCACTCCCTATGGACCAACGGCTCCTGTGTTTGTTATTTTCTATTCTCTGTGTTTGTTTGATTCTCTGATCCGTTGTTGGTGAATTGACAACTTTATAAAGTCCTCCGAGACGACTAGGGCTAAATAAATATAATTGAATTGAAAGGAGACTGATTATGCAATTGCTACTTTTTGCACCATGTTTCAACAATGTTCATCATCAACAAGAGTCGTTCTTAATCCGCCCCTTCTGTCTAAAAAAATCCTGTCTCAGTCCTCAGTACTGTTTCAATAACATGTATGGACATTTATCAAGACATTCTCTATTCTTTGTGATTGAACTGATTTATTCTTTGATCTGTGTTGGCAAACTCAACAGTTTTGTTAAGTCCATCCATCCATCCATTTTCTACCCCTTAATCCATTTCTGGGTTGGGGGGGTGGCAGTTTTGTGAAGTCCTCTGAGATAACTACTGTTGTAGGGCTATACAAGAATATATTAAATTTAATGGAATCCTGTGATAATGATGTCATTATACCACTATGACATCACACGCTATTAAATTTAAAACAAAAATATTGTTCATAAATTTGTGTTATTTAATGTTTAAATGTTTAATTTTCCTCCTGTGGACTCACCACCTGCAGAGGGTCAGTGAGGGGCTGGTGCTATGAGACTTGGGTGGCATCTCTGATAACCACCCCCCTGACCCAGAAATGGATTAAAGGGTAGAAAATGAATGGATGGATGGATGGATGTTTAATTTTAAATAAATCATTTTTTACAATTGCATGTCTGCTTTTGCAATAAAGACAAAAACAAAACCAATTCTACTCTTCCCTATAGTGGCAGCATAGGGAGTTCCAGTCTGAAAGAATTTATTACCTTTCATCCTTGTTTCACCATGTATTTTTTTAGAGATTTGATTTTGCTTTTCAAAACATGAAATGGCAAAGAAAATAGTCTCATTATTATTCTTAACTGACAAAGATAATGCATAATATGTCTTCTTTAAATTGTTTACGGGCAGCCACTGTTATCTTCATATATTCTGCCAACAGAGAGTTGTTGAGTGTGATTCCTGAATCTAAACCTAAGGAATGCTGGGAGATATCCGTCCTGCTGCACTTGTTTCCCATCCACTGGCGAGTTATCCCAACAGTTGTTAGTATAAGTTATTTTTCTTTGCCCTCATGTCCTGACACAAAGCGTCCCTGGGAAAGGAATGTCTTGGTCCCAAGGTAAAGAAAACGGCGCAGTCCTTTCCCACCGAGCGGCCTTCTCCCTCACAATCCACTGCGTCTTTCTCAGCATTACGCATCAGTAGCAATCTCAGCAGCGCTCAGGCGTGCCGGTCCTCTAATCCAAAGTTGTTTTAGTCGGATTTTGTGGCTTCCTCTTCCCACAGTTTGATAAAGCATCTCTCAGGAATTGAGATAGTGGTTGAAGGGACTGATCTATCGCAGGTGAAGCTGGTAGAAGATGACACTATCCTAAGGTTATGCTGATAGTGCAGAACAGGGCTCTCAAAGCTCGCCACCTCTAACCAATAATTTAGAATCCACAAATATGCTAATTTTATTGATTTACTGTACAAGCTTTTAAAAATGAATGCTTTGTTTGCTAATATGTTATAATAGATTGTTTTTATGTGCATGTAACTACATATAAGCATCAATTCATTGAAGAAAATGTATCTTAAAAAGGACAGTATGATATATTTAAGTTACATCTACATCTTGTATACACTGTTTGTAATTATCTCCAGACAATAAGTCAAGATGTAGAATTTATATTTGACCTTTTCTCTTTTCAGAACAATTTAAAGCGGAGTTATTCTTAGTTAAATATAAATGGACATGACGTCAATAATATGTGTTATACTTAAAACAAAAATAATACTTTATTTTTATAAAGTTTATCCAATCAGCAGAACGAGGCCCATTTGTGTTGTCAGTTTCCCCACTGAGAAGAATAAATCATCTCTTTATCTTAATCTGTTTGTTAGGCGAAATGTAGTTGGTTTGGGTTTTTTTGTGTGAATCATTCAGGATCATGTGTTAAATTCTTGAATCCTTTGGGGAACTACCTGAAAGGGGGTGGTTAAGTACTGGTAGCTCTAGTGCCACAGGTTGGAGACCCCGGTAAAAGAGAGAATCTGGTGTGGAACAAGTTTAAGTTTGAAGCAGTGAGACTTACGTGGAAGTCGTTGGCCTTGTTGTAGTGCATGTTGAGTGCTCGGAACAGCTCGGAGTCCCGGCTGACGCTGATGTCTTTAACGTCCCCCACCCCGTCCACAATGGCCTGTCGGGCAAATTTCTCCATCTGGATGTAGTAGAATTCCCTAAAGTTGCTGAACCACTTGATCAGCTGTGATGTGATGCACCGGTTGAACTAGAGAGAAAGAATCGTATGTTTTTTATTAAGAATTTTCCCTTGCCGATGCAGAAGGGTCAAAGGACAGTGGTGATGTTCCAAGACACTCGACATTCAACAACATTTATAGACATCTGCCCTTTATGGACCAACGGCTTAATTGCAAAAAGTGATGAAAAAAAAGTCAAAAATTGCGTCTTCAAACTATATCTTATTTGAGTAAATTCTGACTGCCCTAAAAAACAGTTCTTGAAATAAAACTAAATGGCTTTGTCCCATTGGCAAATCTTGTCAGAAATTCAATTCAAGCCCTTTTTGCTTCTTATTTTATCACTTTTTCTGTGTGGTCTGAACTATTTAAATCTTGTGTTGTCAAATTAAAATACTACTGTTCTGATGTAGAGCTATACAAGAATAAATTTAATTGATTTGAAATGATCAATTTTGTTTGGAAACCTCATTCCTAGCAGAAGAGCAGACCAAAGAAGGATATTAGCCTTTGACCTAAACAAGCACACAAAAATACGCTTGTATCAGGAAATTAATTGAAAAAGCAGGTTTAAAATTCAATTTGACTTTGACTTGAATGTAAGAAAATGCATTTTCAATTAAATGTAAGCGTGTGTCTGCTGTTGTGCCTTGTACCTGGAGGCCAGAGCCACCTGAAGCTCCGTCACTCACTTTGACGTTAATTACTCTAAGATCTTTTCGCACCAGTGTTTCGAGTAAAAAAACATCTGTCGGGGCGCTGTGTGTCTTGACATTACTCCTGTTATTCTATCTCGTCATCCAGAAAGAAAGGAGCAAAAAAAAAGGCCTAGGGGCTGGGCAGGCATCAAAGACGTGTGGTGTGGCGGGTGAGAGCAGCACAAGGACACTCTGGTTGACTCTGGCTGATAGGATGGAATCAGACACTAGGATTAGGCGCCTTTTGTGCTCTGCCACTTCCCACCGCCGGAGTTTAGGCAAGGAGGAGACGTGACACAGGCAGCCGCCCAGCATCCTCCCCCCCAACCCCGACCTGAGGGTCACAGCCAGACTGGGACCCAGGCTCTTGCATGTACAATGAGAGCAGACAACACCCAATGTATATAATGCAAAAAGGCCTCAAATTTGGCAAAAATGTATTTTAATTTGAGCACATTTTGACCGCCTTAAAACAAGATTTGCCAATGAGACAAGCAAAATTATCTTGTTTTAAAAAGTACAAGAAATGCCTTCCTTGGAATGAGAAAATAAGGCAACAGTTCTTAAAATAAGACTAAATGGTGTTGTCCCATTGGGAAATCTTGTTTTAAGAGTGTACTCAAATTAAGATTAAAAACTCTCAATTTAAGCAGTTGTTACCTCATATTTGATCACTTTTTGCAGTGATAATGATGTTTATCAACTTGGGAAGGCTGTGTTTCAGATTTATGCAGCTAAACAGACTTTCTGAAAAATGTGCGACGGGATTCTTCTCTGACAATGTTCAAATTCTGGTTAAAGACAGGTCTGTTCAGTTGTGCATACAATTGCTAAAGAGATTTTATCTATAATAGTTTTAGTATACGGTGATTATGATTTGAATGCCTTGTGTTCTTGTTTTGTTCAGCACTTTGAGTTGCCTTCTGTATGACCTGTGCCGCCATACAAATAAACCTGCCTTGCCTTGCCTACTTTCCATGTGTTTTCAGTCTTGGATAGAAGCTATAGTTTTCATTAATATTAGTATAACTATAGTAGAATAAACAACAACAATAACTAGAAATGTGGAAAGTAGCAAAAACCTGATTTAAAATAGCTTCAACGTGGCTTCCCAAAAATACTTCCCAACATTTTTCTTACATCTTTTTTTCTTGTATTTATCTCTCATAAAGTTTCACATCATAAACTTTGGCAAACATTTTTTAATTTTGGTGCCAAAGAAGCCGAATTGCTACACAAGCTTTTTATACAGTGACTTGGCTTCACACATACTTCTCCCTGGATTTTTCTTATATTATTATTTCGTCAATAATGTGCTTCCATTATTAATTAAAGTAGACCACTATCTCCTGTTAAGTTGTGGATGTCACCTTTTGTCCATTTCACTATACATTATCAAATAACGCCGGCGCCCTAAGGGGTTCATTCCTTTTGAAATTGGCAACAATCATGTCTGATCCATGGCCTCAAACAGTGCGCAATGGAACCTACACTGTTACATTCTCAAAAAAGAAATCACACTAACATTTGACCTGCAAAAAAAACCTCAATGTACTATTTCCAAAAAGGTACTACACGATTTCTTAAAACAAAGAAAAGAAATGATGTGGTATGTCTGACTATCCACTTCTGGCAGCAAGTTGAAAAAACAAGTGGAAAAGGTGCTGACATATTGTTGGTGGCTGGAAGAGGTCACAAACAGAACATCTAACAAAAGGACACAACAAAGTGGCAGAGAGGAGCCAAAGAAGGCCCCGCCACGAGGCCTCAGCCACAGGATGTTGTGTTTGGTCCCCCGCCCGCCTGCGTCTCTAATACCAGGCCTGTGTTGACACTCAATACAGTGTTTCCCACACATAGACTAATCTGTGGCGCACCGCCACAGATTAGAGACCGCCCGCCACAAATTGCGTTTCGTATTATTATATATATATTTTTTTTGTTACGCTATTTAAAACATGCATCGTCTAGTGCCGCCGCAGCGGTCAATTTGACAGCGGGGAGGGGGGTTTAAAATGTGGCGGCCCTTCGTAACTCTCACTCAAGCTACGCGTCTCTCCCACATACAGAGACCTACACACACACAGCCCCTCCCCTTCGTGCACACCGCGTGTCTCCGTCTCCATCAGCGATCATCGCTGTAAGCAGCTGTGTCTATTAATTTACCGCGGTAAAGTGGCCCGCATCTTTCAGCTCTATGAACATGCGGCCCGCATCGGGGAAAAGACGGTGCGCGTTTTGTTGAGAACTTACGGTAACAGCGGAACGTCCTTTCGGAGTCACCCATTTTTATCGAACAGAAAGCGCGCTGGGGTCTGGGAGACACGTTTTTGTGATTAAAACCTTATAGAGATGCCACCCGGCACACATAGCACCAGCCCCCTACGATTCCTCCGGCAGATTGTGAGTCCTCAGGAGGATAGCCACTCTATTGTTTACATGTATAAAGTACACAATTTGGTCCGCTAGTGCAATTTTCAAGTATTGTAACTATTTACTGGAATAAGGTGTGCGACTAATTTCACTTGACTCATGACCTTATTATTGCCCTCTGCCACTGTACCAAAGACCAGAAACTTTTACTGTAGAAATATTGAGAAATATTGAGGTAAAGTAGCCATTTTGGTCCAAAATACCTCCAAAATAGTCAAAACATGTCACTTTTGATCTACTGTAACTTTTTACTGTAAAAAGGTGTGCGACTAATTTCACTGGATTCATGACCTCAAGATTGTCCTCTACCACTGTACCAAAGACCAGACACTTTTACTGTAGAAATATTGATTTAAAGTAGCCATTTTGGTCCAAAATAGCCTAAAAATGGTCAAAACATGTCACATTTGATCTACTGTAACTTTTCACTGTAAAAAGGTGTGCAACTGATTTCACTGGATTCATGACCTCAACATTGCCTTCTACCACTGTACCAAAGACCAGACACTTTTACTGTAGAAATATTGAGAAATATTGAGGTAAAGTAGCCATTTTGGTCCAAAATACCTCCAAAATAGTCAAAACATGTCACTTTTGATCTACTGTAACTTATTACTGTAAAAAGGTGTGCGACTAATTTCACTGGATTCATGACCTCAAGATTGTCCTCTACCACTGTACCAAAGACCAGACACTTTTACTGTAGAAATATTGATTTAAAGTAGCCATTTTGGTCCAAAATAGCCTAAAAATGGTCAAAACATGTCACATTTGATCTACTGTAACTTTTCACTGTAAAAAGGTGTGCAACTGATTTCACTGGATTCATGACCTCAACATTGCCTTCTACCACTGTACCAAAGACCAGACACTTTTACTGTAGAAATATTGAGAAATATTGAGGTAAAGTAGCCATTTTGGTCCAAAATACCTCCAAAATAGTCAAAACATGTCACTTTTGATCTACTGTAACTTATTACTGTAAAAAGGTGTGCGACTAATTTCACTGGATTCATGACCTCAAGATTGTCCTCTACCACTGTACCACTGTACCCCCCCCCCCCCCCCCCCCCCCCCGCCGACGACCACCACACATTGCCTTCAAACCTGTGGGAAACACTGCAATAGCTCTGGCGCTCCTACAGAGTCCTTTGTCAGTTCATTTGCTGACTGGAGTGGCCTTTTTAAAGAGAGAATGGCCGTGTATCTCCCTCTGCCCCCAGGACATACTAGCAGCTCAACGCCTTTGTTATTTAAGCTCTCTGCCTCTTTGTCTCTCCTCCGACACACCGCTGAACGGGTCGCTCCCAAACACAGCCGGACAAGTCGCCAGAGTCACAAACATTATTTAATTGTAGGGAGACGTATATGAGAAGCCAAGTCACTGTATAGAAAGCGTGTCGGATTTACAAGCTCGTGCAGCCATTCTCTTACACTGCAAAAGATGATAAATTATGAGGTGATAATTGCTTGAATCGAGTCTTTTTCTTTTTATCTTAATTTGAGCACATGTCTTAGAACAAGATTTGCCAAGATTTGGGACAAAGCCATCAAGTAGCGCTTATAAGCCAAAGCCACTTATTTCAAGAACTGTTGCTTTTTTACTCTTTCCAAGAGAGACATTACTTGTATCTTTTCAAAACAAGATAATTTTGCGTTTTCCCAATGGCAAATCTTGTTTAAAAGGTAGCTATAATGTGCTCAAATTAAGATACATCCAAATACGTGCAATTTTGGACTTTCATTTTACTACTTTCTGCAATGAAGTAGGCAAAGCAAGGCAAGTTTATTTGTATAGCAAAGTTCATGCACAAGGCAACTAAAAGTGCTGAACAAAACAAGATGGAAAGAAAGAGTAAAAGTACCTTCACGTCGGGGAAGTAGGTCTTGAGCACGTTGGAGCTGGGGTAGCGGGTGTAGAAGAACATGAGCTTGGCCTTCTTCAGATGGCTGGGCGTGAGACCCTCCTGGATGTTCACTGGAAGGTTAAGGCCAAACACAATTTACACACTCTAGACACACACACTGCAAAGTGATAGTAGCACAGAGTATTTTGTTCCCTAATCTGCGGCTAAATTCAATTTGTCTAAAGAACAGCTCGGCATTAAGCGGAGAGTCAATAATGGCCTTAACATGTGTTTATTGGCAAAACAGAATTACTAAATGTGATTAGGGATTTTTAATTAGACAGCAGAGCACTTCATGCCTAGCAGTTACCACAGTTTGTTCGGAAACGTCTAAAAGAAAGAGATGATGTAATTAGGTTGATTTAAAGACAGCATATGCCGCTTTGTGTAGGCTTTCCAAACTTAGTAGAAGTGAAGAGTGATGAGGAAACCTTATAGAACCCTGGTGTCCGGTAGAAGATTGATATTGTATTCTCTATATCATGTATTTGATGATAATTAAAAATGAATGGAATTCTATCTGCTGTTTGAGCCTCTGGCCATGAAGACCGGTCGGGGCAAGCCTCTGTAGTCTGTGCCTTAGGTTATAACATTTCCTTATCAAGTCACTACACCATACATTTATTAGGAAACCTACACTATCTTTGAAATGAGGAGAACTGGCACTGGAATTAAAGATTGATGTCCTATTGTTCAAAGAGAAACCAGCTCTATGCACTGTATAATACTGTCCATCAAAATCTGTCAAATTCTGTTTTTAGTTTTATATTGACTTTTTTGAATGTTTTTTTAGTTACATGTAATATTGTAACAATCGGATCATTTTTGCAACATACTCATGTTTTGTCTGTTGAGTGACCTGAAATTGTCTGTTGTCTTGTTTCTTTGTGACGCAGGGACACAGACCCCGAAGACAAGAGCTCAAGTGTTGTGCTGTGGGGCACTTGTGTCTGCAGCAGCACTCAGATGTGACCTTTTAGATGCACCACTATCACTCTGATGATGGGGAAAAAGATCCTGCACCTTTTCAAGTCAGAAAAAACAGCCTTCCTGAAGCACAAACCCATGCTTTCTCTGCCTTTGAAAAATTGGCTTTTGTTCCTGGCAATTCTTATCAAAGCCTTGTATTCCTTTTTATTTGTCTTTTTCTAGACTTAAAGTCATTACTCGGCTCAGATTAAAGAAGATGCTATAATTTTCTATGGGGTTAGCCAGATCAAAGAAAAAATTCTCCTTGAAGTTTGTTACTGGAACTGCCGTGCTGCGCTCAACCTCAACTAGCCATTGTTCAAATGGATGTAGAAAGCTGCTGGAAAAATCAAAAGGTAAATGTTTTATGTTATCAAGAGTCTATAACATAACTAAACAATTGAGCTCTGTGATATTAGGAAAACATACAATAGCAACACTATTTTGCCATCTGAGTGGCCACTTTTATTTTCCATTTTATTCTCGAACGCTTCGCCTCAAACATATAACATTTACTCGTAGAATAAAATGCCCCTATTATTATTTATTTATATATATAAATTATTATATATTTTCAAAGAGCAGTAATATTAGAGCCTACTACATAATATATCGTGCAAAAATGAGACTCTATTTTTTTACCTTTAAAACATTTTTACACACTTCCTGTCTTTTTACACAACCTGACTGGTTCTATCTATGCTAATGTGACATGTAAATTTCTCTATTTTGACATCACTAAAGTTGATCTTATATTATCTTATAAACCTTGTTTTAAACAAGCCTTTTTCTCAATAAGTGAGAATGAGTAAGATTGTATGTGGGTTACCACAGGACTACCACCTAAAGTAATCTTGTTATCAATGCTTTTATAAATTAATTACAAAGCTAATTCCTTTGCAAAAACAATTAAATGAAAAGTGTCTGTGCCGTGTATATTAGGGCTGTCCCATTAGATTTATAATGTGTAGGCTTTACCTACACACTGCTCTTATGAACATACTAACGCATGCATTTGATTTTCAACATTTATTCTGAAGGATATATTGAGCGACATGTAGGGGTTCCTCTCCGCCATCCCTTGCAGCTCGGCACACTCCAGCTTGACGTGGGGCAGGCACAGGTTGTCCGGCCCGAGCGCGGAGGGACGCGGATGATGGCCCAGGTGCGCCGACGTGACCTTGGACCTCATGGCGATGGCGTCCCAGGGCAGCTCCACCGCGTCTGGGGAGCTCCTGTCCAACGCGGTGGTGGTCGGCATGCAGGGGAGGAAGCTAGAATGTGGGCCATACTTCAGCAAGTGCTCCAGAATCTGGCTATCATGGAGCGGAGCCGTGTAGTTGAACTGAAAAGGCGCTTGGTGCACTGGGAACGGCCTTTTCACCGACGGGGCGTTGAGCGGAGTCACGACTGGCTTACGCACCACCAGTGACAGGGCTTCGGTTTGATCTTGCGGGCTGTGCGGGTCTTCGTAATAGTCGAATGAGCGTGACTTTATCGGAATTTCGCTGCTTTGCGCCGCCTCTTGACTTGTGGGCTTCCCTTCCATGCCAATGTCCGGTGAGGAGCACATTCGCGGGGGTGTAGACATCCCCACAAGCGGAATTTTCCTAAAAACGCGAGCTACGCACTCGGTAACAGCGCGGGACAGCTCTTGCTTCAGTGCGTCCTCTAAGCTTTCCCTGGCGTAGCCGATTTTAACCCTGTCTTTGCACTCTTCCACCACTCTACCATTCTTGCGTTCAAAGTCTTCCTCGGAGCCGGCGGCGCTCTCGTCCAGGTTCATCTCGTCGTCTGCGTCTTCCTGGTTGTAAACTTGTAGAAACTTTTCCTGCAGCTGCCGTAGGAGGCGCTGCATGCTGTGGAGTTGCTCTTTAAGTCGGTGGCACTCCTCGTCTTTGCTGTTGTCGTTGCGGCCTGATCTTCGGCCCGCGTCTAGACTGTGCTCCTGATGCTGCGGAAGGCGTTGTTTGCGTTTGTTTGTCTCTCTATAGGCGTCTCTCCCGTCCCTCCCGTCCCTCCCGTCCCTCCCCTCCAGCTCTGACTTCTCCCCATCACCGTGCGGCCGGTTGATTGGAGACCCGGCCATCACACGAATGATGTTCTCCACTCTTGCTCTCTTTGCCTGCAGGGACATAAAAAAATACTTATTACTGTAATTCCAAAGGGCTGCATCAGTAATTGCAATCAAATCAAAAACGCACAACTGTATCAAGTTGTACAAATAAGAAAATTGAACAAACTGCCATTATTTAGGGCCACTTATGATTAAAAAAAGCTTTTAAAACACTTCAATATTTTTTTTGTTTCCTTTGTTATTTCTTTATTTACAAAGTTTTCTCAAATTTCATGTTTTCTCATTCTTAAGTGAAAAATGAACCACTTTATTTTAATTTCTAAACAAAGCCACATCTTAATCATAATCTCCCCACTTCCTTTCAAGCATCAGTGTGTGAGTTATTGTACGTCTTCCTGTTGTATTGTGGGTTTTTTTCTCTTTTGTGGTCTTGGTAGAACACCATTTGCTTTAAATAAATAAAAAATAAAAAAAATAACAAATTTGTTTAAAAAAATGTCAAATCAAAATTTATTTAGACAATTATTTCACTTTTATCATTAAAGTGACAGTACAGAGCAAAGACAAGGGATACTAAGGACATGAACAGACCTTTTAACCAAGCACAACAAATCAGGTAGTGCGAGAAGATAAGCGATGGGTGTAACAGGGTGGTTTTGGAGATAGGTCTCACTAATTATTCAAATATGCATTTTCTTAAACTATTATTAATATTATTACGGGTGGTCAGTAATTTAATGGGTGGATATAAATTGAAACATATCGTTTAATTGCTTCAGTCAGATGAATAAATATAGACAGACATATATATTTATTTATTTTTTTAGTTCACCTTAGTGCTATGGTGAATTTAGAAGAACAAGTTTACAGCTTTGGAATAAATATTATCTAATAAGAATATTTCATTTAAATGGCGATAATATCCAAAAATAAACCAGAATGCAAATTTACTTTATGTGTGAAGGAAAAATATGATAAAGAATATAGTATGATATGAAGATAAAGTAAGATCAACTTTTGGATGGAAGTAAATTAAGGATTTTATAAGTACAAAATAATAACAACATGCTAAAGTTTTGTTCAAAATAGTTTAAGGAAATATATACAATCTGAGTTGAGATAATTATTAATCACGTTTGGGTCCTTTTAAACAAGTCCCAAGCTTTTGAAAAGAAGTATGCGGTTTGTATTATTTTTGTGTTAAATAATATAAACCTTGTATATTATTTATCTTCAAGACATTGAGATTGATAACAGATTATTGTTTGTAATACTAATAAAGTAATATACAATTGAACATGTGAGCAATCAATAAGATGAGTAGAGGGATATTATTTTTGTCCTTTGCCGTTCCTAATATATGGAGGCTCTCTTACCTGTAGGTGGTCGCTGATGGGGGGCTCTCCCTCAACACTGGCCCCTGTGGACACGTTGGGGGACGGGGCCTCTGCCATGCTGTCCTTAGAAGAGACACTGCTGCGGTCCTCCTGGCCTGAGTCAGCGCTGCACAGGAAGTAGTGACCCTCGTCCATGGGCCTCTTGGCTGGGAGCGTCTTTCGCAGGAGCTGTGAGATGATGGAGCTGCTGGAGTAAGGAGTGGAGGGCAGTGATTCTTCGTACATGTTTCTTCTGAAGCAGGGGAGCAGGACCTCGGGCTTGTCCTCGTCGTCGGCCGAGCTGTGCATGCTCTGATCAGGAAGACTGAGGTTCATGCTCAACGCACGGCAGAAGAACACGGAAGAAAACTAACTGCGAAAAGAACAGAAATAATAATGAAATAATGTTATTAATGTTATTACTGGGGGCAATGAGAATCTATTGTAAATTATGTATCTTTTAAAAAATGATGCTCATTTAGATTTAATAAAATATGTAAGTGTCATGACATGACACATGTCATGAAAATACAGATTAAAAAACACATACATACACGAACGCTCAAATGCTTATTACTGAATAAAATGAGGCAACACAAGGCAATTAAACATCTGAGTCAAGGCTGAAAATATTTGGTCACAGCTTATGATTGAAAAGTATTAAATTTAAAAAATCCTTAATTAAAAAAACTAAATAAATACAATGCCATTTTCAAATTTAGCAAATAAGACCTATTTTAGACTTAACTGTTTCAGGATAGAGCAATAAATGCTAAAACACAATTTCTGTTATTCATCAGAGTAGAATAAATTGCTGTGTTTTAATGTACAATTGTTCTTTGCTTTCTGTTATTAACAAACTAAACAATGTAGTATACATTTCTGAACTTACTTTTAACATACACCCAGGAGAAGAAAAAAAGAGAATCAAACTTTGTCACCATATGTAGATATAAAAAGACAACCCCACTATAAAAACCCAATTTAACTACTTAAAAGAGTTGCCAGTTTCACTGATATTTGTCCCACGATGATAGGATGTGGTGCGGGAGAGAGGGACTCACCTGTTGCGTGGGACGAGAGGAGCACTGGCCTCAGCTGCTGTGAGAGCTGGACTCAGAGCGTGCGGCGCACCTTCAAACAGGAGCGGAGGCGGGGCCTGTGAACCATGTGGACACAACATCAAGACCTGCTACAGTCTAACTATGACTATTAACAAGTGGTAATACAAATTTAAACAGAGAAATAATAAGAATAATGATGATAATATTAGGTCACATTTGTATTGCATAAATAAATATCTAACAGGTGCAAATGTAATATGTATTAGGGTACTCTCATAAGCTTAATAATTGTAAGTGTCCATTTGTGCCCCGCCAATGAGAGGAGTATAAGTATGGTGCTATTTGTGCGTTTGTAATTTAATGACCTTTACGCAGTTTATTACCCACGGACTACAGTCAGTGATCACTGTATGTGTATACATGCGTGTATGTCACAGTGTATGTGTATGTATGGTTGTAACCTCGGAGGGTTGAAGGTTGTGAGCAGAGCCTGACTCACCCCTCTAGTCGCAGCACTTGGTTTGCCCCTTGCCGCTTCCTCATCTCCCGTTCTTCTCCGTGACCGGAGTTCCCTTCCGCTGACCGGCTGCTGTCTACAGCCATCATGTTGTCTCATTCCCGGTGTCTTACCAGGAATTTGGGACGTTCCCTCTCCGTTATCCGCCAGGTAAGCGACACTCGACAGGAAACGGCTGCTTTACACCGCGCGTATGTGCTACATGTGTGTCCTATGTATGGGTGTTAGCATTAGCATTAGCTGCTGTAGGCCGTAGACAGGCCGTAACATTGGAGCCAAGGACAGTATGACACTTCACTCATTGGGCTTTATCTTCAACACAAACAACATATTCACACAATGTGCATTGGCACATACATTGCAGCGACATAATAACGTGCTGCAGAATATTAAGAACTATCCAAACTAGTTGAACCCAACCGTGTGCTAACATTGCTAGCGTAAAATACACTTTTAACGTCAGTAAAGCCGTCATGATATAGGCAATATAAGTAGATCCATGGAACATCATCCTTTAGTGTTGGCCATATGTTGTCATAATATTACTGGTAAATATTGAACCAATTCTATAGTGTGCACGCCATGAAAACACATGATCGCATGTTATTGACGATGTCAAAGGTTAACTGTACGTAGTGTGTCACGTGGAGCTGAGACACGTCTAATGCTTTTGTTTCTAAAGGGAAATAAAGTCGTTTCACGTCAAGCTAGTGCAGGTATGTGGTTTGTTTTGGTTGGCATTCTTGCGAGATGGTAACAGCCATGTGCATACATTAACATGTAGCATTACTTACTAACGTTACATTACTGTCTTTCACAGCCCTCTCCACTAGTCATGGTGTATTTTACAACAAAAGTTTGTATGTATTAAATTTTTTAGTAATTGCCATATAATTATATCAACAATCTTTATTTCCCATTTGAAAATTATTATGTTTGTGTAATTATTTTAAAACAGAAATTCTCAACCCCGGTCTAACGTCTTCCAAATCCAGTACTTTAGGACATCTGCAGCCTACAGTAGGTTTAAATACATTAAAATCTACTCTCCTAATCTTGTTTTTTAAATGTCATTATATTTTGCCTGAATTATAGGAGATGAAGTTGTCACAGTGAAGACTCCCGCATTCGCAGAATCTGTCTCAGAAGGAGATGTGAGGTGGGAAAAGGGTACGTGTGGCTTCTTTCTCTTTACACTTGTTTGTTTATTGATTAAAATGCTCAAGTCAATGGTTTGTTCACAGCTGTTGGGGACACTGTGTCAGAAGATGAAGTGGTGTGTGAAATAGAGACTGATAAGGTACATTTACTATTACTGTATACAGTAAAATAATTTTTTCAGACACAAAGCTATAATTTTGTACATAACTAAAAATACAATGTTATATTCAAATCCATTTATTTTTGAACAGCCCTATATCACAACAAAACAAATTCTTGAAGGACTTTACAAAGTTACTTATTCACCAAAAACAAATCAGAGAATCAAACTGTTAAAAGCAAATTCAATAATATAATTTAGATTAGATAAGGCTTCTTAAAATTGTATTGCTTTTTATGGTACCACAATGTTGTACACTAGTTGATGATATTTAAAAAACTTTTAAAACTGCTCAAAGAATCACACATTTTGTCCGATAATTATTATTATTATTTTTTACTTTCTAAGATTGATATTAGTTTGACACAACCTGTAGATTCAGGTTTTTAATATCTGACTTTCTTTAATTTTGACAACCCTAATACAGTTGTTGTTGTTAAGAACATTGTTGAAAATTGTCTGCAGACATCTGTACAAGTACCTTCCCCTGCATCTGGAGTCATCGAGGAGCTTTTGGTTCCTGATGGCGGGAAAGTTGAAGGTGGTACTCCACTCTTCAAACTTAGGAAAGGAGGTATGTATTAACTGGGATAGAACAAACTGGCATGATATTCTGCAAAAAGTGATTAAAAATAATTCACACTCTGCCAAATTTTAGCAATATTTATCTTTATTTGAGCACATTTGGACTACTTTAAAACAAGATTTGCAAATAGGACAAGAAGATTATCTTGTTAGGATACTAGAAATGTCTCCTTTTGGAATGAGAAAATAAAGCAACAATTCTTGAAATAAGACTTAGGGCTTTGTCCCATTATGTATGTTTTAAGACTCAAATTAACCCTCTATGCCCATGGGTCATTTTGGGGAACTTTCCTCGCCTGGTTTTCTTTGTGTATAATGGTTCATAAAACAGTCATCTTTTGATGCAGAGTCAAGCAGTATACTTTGTTTTTTTCAGTACAACCTGGGGTTTTAGAATATTCATATTGTAAAGCTGTCATATGAATTATATAAAAATGATGGAATCATAAAGACAAAGAAAAAAATCAAACGGAAAATCAATTTAACAAAAATGTATTGAAAAAACACAATGAAATGCTATAAACAACTTTTTACACTGCATAGAAATGTTATTTATGGTCTTGGGGATAATGGGGGAAAAAATTGAATCTCTAACTATTATACTTTTTACAAAATTCCACTATAAAAGCAAAAAACTCTGTACTCCTGATGCCCTTCTTGAAGCAGTTTGTCTATAATGCTGGGGTTGCTTCTGTAGTACAGCTGTAAAAAACGTAAAACATAAAAAACTGAGCCAAAAAAAAAAAAAACATCAATTATTTATTTAATACATATATTTATATACATCATATACACATAATGTCATTTTACTGTATTTATTATCGTCTTTATCAATAATGCGCACTCTTCAGCCGGTTTTTGCAATCGCAGCTGTAGTTTCAACTGTGGGAGAACAAGGAAACGCAGAGGAGTGAGACATCTCACTCTCTGACGATCTTTGGCAGTCCCCGTGTGTTTGTATCTCACAGCTGTTTGTACCTCACGGGTCATGCTTTGGACACGGACTTTCAGACAAACGTAGTTTATCCTCCGTGCATCGCACAGACAAATCAAAACTAGTTTCGGAAAGCCCTGATTACGTACTTCACAGAGGAAAAAAAAGTAAGTTGCTACGTTTTACCGTTCGCGAGTAAATTGATCATTTGTAAAACATGTGCGGGCATATAGGGTTAAGATGAAAACCACTTGATTCAAGCATTTATTAACTCATAATTTATATTGTTTTGTTTTGTACTTTTTTTTACGAAGTGAATTCAAGTCAACTCAAACATAACTCCTGTGTGTTTATTTTTTTATTTCCAAGCCGGTGCCCCTAAAGACGCTGAGGCTCCTAAAGTTGAGGCCCCCGCTGCAGCTGCTCCCTCACCCCCCTCTCCCCCTCCTCCCTCCAGCGCGGGCCCCATTCCCACCACCATGCCCCCTGTGCCACCTGTGCCCACACATGCTATGGACACCAAACCAGGTTAGTTGCCAGAGCTGACAGAAGGTCTGTGTCATGTGAGAAGAGTTCCCTGGGACAGCTGTACTCTTTCTTTACATCACTTGATTTAATCGTGGGAGTTTCTCAGGACACTCTTGAGGTTCTACACCAGAAAATGCTCACTTTTAAATCTTTATTATAGTTTCAGCCATCAAACCCACTCCCGCTCCAGCTGCACCTGTGGCTCAGGCCGATGGAGTGGCCAAGGGCGCCAGGACGGAGAGTAGGGTGAGTGCACCAAACATCACTTCTTATCTTTTTTATGATAGAGCCTCGGGTCAAATTGACCGACCACAGTGATTTTTTTTTTTTTTTACTTCTCGAAATATTTTGTTTTAGCTGAATTTTGATAATTCTTGCCAACTTGACAAGCCCTGTGTCATTTAGACCCTTTTAGCCATTGATTTGGGGATTTTTTTATTTCTACTTTCAAGCATCTGTGGCGGGTCATTTTTGCCCAAGGGTAGTACAAGGGTTAAATTCATCCTAAATATTGTTTTTTGTTGTGAATTAGGTTAAAATGAACCGAATGAGGCTGAGAATTGCCCAAAGATTGAAGGAAGCTCAAAACACCTGTGCGATGTTGACTACTTTTAATGAGATCGACATGAGGTAGGCAATTTTAAATAGTTTATAATTTATTATTCTGCTTGTAATTTACTCTTTATTTAAGTTCATGAAGCCACAGGTAGTTTTTCATGACACACAACGTGCGAATTTACAGTAAAGTGTGTTTATGACGTGTTAAAAGCCTTAACAAGACAACACTAATGGTTTACACAAGATGATTGCTATAGATTGAATCAGCCCAATAGGAAAAGCTTTTTGAAAACTGATACCCTTTTAAACACAGGAATGTAAATATTTGGTCATAATTCCATCTAAAACCAAGATAAGAATGGTTAAAACAGGTTTTATTAATTTACAAGGAAATGTTGTTGTCTGCACTTGCCCTCAGCACTAAAGAGGACACTTTGAGGATTTCTTTTCCCCGCAAATGCATGGTGTCAGCTTTCCGCTATTCAGGGTTTTCTGTGTATCCTAATTGGATTGATATTGACAGTCTGGAGGAAGACTTCCCAGGCTCAGCCTCATCTGGAGCCGAAGGAGCGAGTCGGAGCAGAGGGCCCACAGAGACCGCTATGCTGAGTGCTAGAGCTGCACACGCTGATATGGGCTTTTATGACAGCCCAATAAGATTTACAGGCTCTAGAAAATGAAGATTTTTATCGCTTCTTCTCTCCTTTCTCGGAGTGTCTGTGTCTTGGGAGGGGCTAATTGTGTTAGTGAAGAAACCCTAGAGCTTCAACAGTGTTACAGACAGGAAAACAAACAATTAAAAAGTGATATGTACAGGAGCAAAATGATAATGGTGATAAAAGATTAGCAGGCATTCTGATTTGTCTCAACAGTTACCCATTAAAACAAGGGGGGTGGGAATTGGCAAAAATGTGACAATTCGATATTATTGCAATTATTGGGCCACAATTAAATTTGATTGTGATTTTTTATTTTTATTTTTTTTTTATTTTTACATATTGCGATATAGCAAGTATTCTGAGATATATTGCGATTAACATCCCTTATATTCAAATGCACTCAAATGCAATTCCAAGGAACGCCTTGGAGTCCCCCCGGACGAGCTGGAGGAGGTGTGTGTGGATAGGGAAGTCTGGGCGTCTCTGCTTAGACTGCTGCCCCCGTGACCCGGCAACGGATGAAGCGGAAGAAAAATGGATGGATGGATGGATATTCAAATGCATTCCAAAAACTGCAAAAACTTTGGAGGGTAGTGAAAACACTTTGAACTTGCTGTTAAATGAACGCACCTCAACAAGAGCCATCTTGTGGATGTAATACGTGTTACCAGAGTCAACTCTGAGAAAACACAAGTGAAATATATTCATTAAAATATATTATATTCTATTTACTTTTCTGGTTTGATACAATGGGTGAAAAGACAAAAATAGCGAGTGAAATATGGTACTTTTGCTTTGATCATGTCGAGATGTACTGTGGAGAAGCCAGTGGGGGGGGGGTCACGGCTCAAAAAGGTCCATGAGCTTGTGCGCTGACATGCTTGCAATCCCACTCCTAGCCGGTATGGGTGGACCCAGAAAGAGAATGTTCTAATGCTTTTGTATGCTCAAAAACGGCTTTAAAAGATGGTCCAAAAGTTGGCTCTTGTGCCAAAGCTATGTTCCAAATGTCTCAATTCTGAGGGGAGAATTTTTTTTTGGACCAGTCTAGTTTAACCGCTATGGACTTTTGAAGGCACTTGTCAAATGAATGGGGCTCGTGCTGGCTTACGCATTTGCAAATGGAAATTTTGAACTGTTTCCAGCCCCCGTGGCCATTTTGAAATTGCTCACAGAAGACAAAAGTGGTGGCACACTAGTTTCAGCGGCGAAGATAGGCGTTACTACGATAGTTTATATTTACAGTCTATGGCAGGGGTCCCCAAACTTTTTCCTGTGAGGGCCACATAACTTATCCCTTCTTCGATGGGGGCCGGGTCAGTTTGTAACAGAAAAAATTTGTTGATGATTGCAAGAGTGCCTAAACGTAAAAATGTGTTTTTTTACAGAAAGAGTAATCAAATAACCCTCACTGGGTTCTTCACAGAACAAAAGTCAGGAAACAAATAACACTATTTATGAAATAAATAATAACCAAATAACCCTTTCTGGGTTCTTCACAGAACAAAAGTCAGGAGTGCATATATGAAAATACTCTCTGGTATTGTTCAGGGGGCTGGAGCAAATGTAGAGGCGGGCCGGGTCCGGCCCGCGGACCGTAATTTGGGGACCACTGGTCTATGGCATGCCCCACCACTAGAAACAATAACATACTCCTCTCTTTTTTCTTTCCTCAGTAACATCTCCGATATGAGGAAGAGCTACAAAGACGCTTTCCTAAAAAAGCACAATATAAAATTGGGCTTCATGTCTGCGTTTGTGAAGGCGGCCGCGTACGCCCTCAGTGACCAGCCAGCTGTGAACGCCGGTACAACTGTAACCTTTTAAAGACAGAAACCTCACTTAGTGGTGTGGCCCATGTCGTTGTCTTTGCACGAGTCCTATATATACGGATATGTGGTCAACAAAGATGTGTGTGTTTCGTTTGCAAACCTCAAACCCATGCCAACTGGGTACTTCTTTTCTTTTCACTCTGGCAAAACAGATTTATGTGCAAAATTTCAAACATTTTGAAAAAACTAAATTTGAAAATGCCCATCTAAATAAACTTTTGAAATAGTCCTGTAGGGGCGCTAATGAAGTCAATTGGAATTAATTTCCACTTTCAAATTACCTAGACCTAGAGGTTCAACAATGTATTAAAGTTTTGTACAAATCAGACTTTGTTTGTGTTCAAAAATGACGGGAGCAAATTTAATGTTGTCAAAAACGGCCAAAAAAAGGTCACATTTTGCCGCTCCGCTTATCTTTGCTCAACAATTGTTTCACTGATTCAAAAATCCCTGAGGTCATTTTGAAGGTACATGTTTGAAGATGATGTTGGAGCGATTTTGAGGCGAATCGGTAAACGGCCGAGGAGGAATTCGCTTTTCCAAAACCTACATGGTATGAAAACTTTTTGCTGTTCAATTTTTTCCATTTGTGCCTAGAAATTTAATGGGCTTTCTCCCAGTTTGACTGAGTGGCGGGGCCAAAAAATCTTTTTTCTTGTCTTGAACTTGGAGCAACATGTGTACCCAATTTCATGTTTCTACACACACTTGGACCTCCGAAAAAGTCCCCTAAGGGGTAAATATTTTGCTGTTGTAGTGGCCGCTGTTCTGGTCATTTTTTGAGTCCCATAAACATAAACCCCAAAATATACAGATATTTCACCTGTCTGATATATTATGGGCCCAAAATTATCTAACAACTTTTCAGGCATGTACAGTGGGGTTCAAATTAAGGCTCAACAGTGCAGAAATATGAAAAGAAAGAAAGAAATAAATTAAAGCCGCAAGCGGCGGTCTCGACGTCCCTCGCCGCACCGCGCGACTCCCTGCACCGCGCGCACTCTCCCCGCACCACGCCTCCCCGCACCAAGCCGCCCCGCACCAACGCCGCACTCAAGCCGCAACGCGCCGCACCCTCCACAAACGCCCCGCATCACTAGAACGACCAAGCCGCACCACACCGAACCACGCAGCACCGCTAAAAGGAGGTGGCACCCGCCGCCGTGTGAGATTTGAGTTGTTTCCGTAGCATAGAAAAATTAAGTCAAATTGTAATGAATATGATAAGTAGAGCTGGTTTTGTGCTCCCCATGTAAACTTTGACACAGTGTGCAAAATTTCAAACATTTTGAAAAAACTAAATTTGAAAATGCCCATTTAAAACTTTGAAATAGTCTGTAGGGGGCGCTAATGTGTCAATTTGAATCATTTAACTTTCAAATGACCTAGACCCTAGAGTTGAACAATGTATTAAAGTTTTGTGAAAATCAGACTTTGTTTGTGCAAACGGGAGCAAATTTAATGTTGTCAAAAACGGCCAAAAAAAGGTCACATTTTGCCGCTCCGCTGCTCGAACAATGTTTCACTGATCAAAAATCCCCGAGGTCATTTTGAAGGTACATGTGTTGAGATGATGTGGAGCGATTTTGAGGCGAATCGGTGAAACGGCCGAGGAGGAGTCGCTTTCCAACCGACATGTATGAAAACTTTTGCTGTTCATTTTTCCATTTTGCAGTGAAATTTATGGGCTTCCTGTTTGTCAGAGGGCGGAGCCATAATAATATTTTTTTCTTGTCTTGACTTGAGGAACATGTGTACCGAATTTCATGTTTCTACGACAAACTTGACCTCCTAAAGTTCCATAGGGGTATTATTTTGGCTGTTGTAGGTGGCGCTGTTCTGTCATTTTTTGAGTCCCATAAAAATAAACACCAAAATATCAAATTTTTCGCCAGGTCTGATTTTTGGGCAAAAATTAACAACTTTTCATGCATGTTCAGGGGGTCAAATTAAGGCTCAAAGTGCAGAAGAAAAAAGAAAGAAAGAAAAGAAAGAAAAAAATTAAAGCCGCAAGCGGCGTCGAACGGCCCTCGCCGCACCGCGCGCGACTCCCCCGCCACGCGCACCACCCCGTGACAAGCCACCCCGCACCACGCCGCCCTGCACCACGCCGTCCCCCATCACGCGCCGCCCCGCACCAAGCCACAACGCGCCGCTCCACAACGCCCCGCACTACGCCGCACCACACCGTACCTTGCAGCACCGCTTAAAGGAGTTGGCGCCGCCGTGTGATGATTTGTTTCCGTAGCCACAGAAGATTGTTAGTCAAATTGTAATGAATATGATAAGTAGAGCTGGTTTGGCTCCCCATGTAAATTTTGACTAGGTCTTTAGGGGGCGCTAATGGGCCAATTTAAAATATTTCACTTTCACCTGACCTAAACCCTGGAGTTGAACAATGGGTTCAAGTTTGATGCAAATCAGACTTTGTATGTGCAAACGGGAAAAAAATTAATGTTGTCAAAAACGGCAGAAAAAAACTTTCCATTTTGCCGCTCCGCTGCTCAAACAACGTTTCACTGATCACAATTCCCTGAGGTCATTTTGAAGATAAATGTGTTGAGATAATTTGGAGCAATTTTGAGGCCAATCGGTGAAACGGTCGAGGAGGAGTCGCTTTCCAACCGACATGTATGAAAATGATTGGTTTTAATTTTTCCATTTTGCAATGAAATTTATGGGCTTCCTGTTTGTCAGAGGGCTTAGCCATAATAACATTTTTTCCATGTCTTGACTTGAGGAATATGTGTACCAAATTACATGGCTCTACGACAATTTTGACCTCAAACCCCTCCCATAGGCATTTTTAAATTGGCTGTTGTAGGTGGCGCTATAGAGCCAATTTCAACATTTTTACTTTCAAATGACCTAGACCCAAGAGTTGAACCATGGATTCAGGTTTTGTGCAAATCAGACTTTGTTTGTGCAAACGGAAGCAAATTTTATATTGTCAAAAACGGAAAAAAATTACGCCACTTTTTGGCGCTCTGCTGCTCAAACAACGTTTCACTGATCAAAATTCCCTGAAGTCATTTTGATGGTACATGTGTTGAGATAATGTGGAGCGATTTTGAGGCGAATCGGTGATACGGTTGAGGCTGGTTTGATGTTTGTGTGAGGTGTACATTTACAATGAATGGGGAGCGTTTGTCGTTGCCACGGCAATAGGGTAAAAAATAAGCCTTGGACCCTTTTGACTTTTTGAATCAAGAGGGCAAAACAGATGTATGTGCAAAATTTCAAACATTTTGAAAAAACTAAATTTGAAAATGCCCATCTAAAACTTTGAAATAGTCTGTAGGGGGCGCTAATGAGTCAACTGGAATCATTTAACTTTCAAATGACCTAAACCCTAGAGGTGAACAATGTATTCAAGTTTTGTGCAAATCAGACTTTGTTTGTGCAAACGGGAGCAAATTTAATGTTGTCAAAAACGGCCAAAAAAAGGTCACATTTTGCCACTCCGCTGCTCAAACAATGTTTCACTGATCAAAAATCCCTGAGGTCATTTTGAAGGTACATGTGTTGAGATGATGTGGAGCAATTTTGAGGCGAATCGGTGAAACGGCCGAGGAGGAGTCGCTTTCCAACCGACATGTATGAAAATGATTATTTTTCATTTTTCCATTTTGCAGTGAAATTTATGGGCTTCCTGTTTGTCAGAAGGCTTAGCCATAATAAAAAAAATTCAATGTTTTGACTTGAGGAACATGTGTTCCAAATTACATGGTTTTATGACAATTTTGACCTCGAACCCCTCCCATAGGCATTTTTAAATTGGCTGTTGTAGGTGGCGCTATAGAGCCAATTTCAAAATTTTAACTTTCAAAGGACCTAGGCCCAAGAGTTGAACCATGGATTCAAGTTTTGTGCAAATGAGACTTTGTTTGTGCAAATAGAAACAATTTTTCTATTGTCAAAAACTGAAAAAAAATACGCCACTTTTTGGCGCTCTGCTGCTCGAACAACGTTTCACTGATCAAAATTCCCTGAAGTCATTTTGTTGGTACATATATTGATATGATGTGGAGCGATTTTGAGGCGAATCGGTGAAACGGCCGAGGCTGGTTTGATGTTTGTGTGAGGTGTACATTTGCAATGAATGGGGAGCGTTTCTCGTCGCCACGGCAACAGGGTAAAAAATAAGCCTTGGACCCTATTGACTTTTTGAATCAAGAGGGCAAAACAGATTTATGTGCAAAATTTCAAACATTTTGAAAAAACTAAATTTGAAAATGCCCATCTAAAACTTTGAAATAGTCTGTAGGGGGCGCTAATGTGTCAATGTGAATTTATTCACCTTCAAACGACCTAGACCCTAGAGTTGAACAATGTATTAAAGTTTTGTGCAAATCAGACTTTGTTTGTGCAAACGGGAGCAAATTTAATGTTGTCAAAAACGGCCGAAAAAATGTCACATTTTGCCGCTCCGCTGCTCAAACAATGTTTCACTGATCAAAAATCCCTGAGGTCATTTTGAAGGTACATGTGTTGAGATGATGTGGAGCGATTTTGAGGCGAATCGGTGAAACGGCCGAGGAGGAGTCGCTTTCCAACCGACATGTATGAAAATGATTGCAGATCATTTTTCCATTTTGCAGTGAAATTTATGGGCTTCCTGTTTGTCAGGGGACGGGGCCATAATAATATTTTTTTCTTGTCTTGACTTGAGGAACATGTGTACCAAATCTCATGTTTCTACGACAAACTTGACCTCCGAAAAGTCCCATAGGGGTATTATTTTGGCTGTTGTAGGTGGCGCTGTTCTGTCATTTTTTGAGTCCCATAAAAATAAACACCAAAATATCAAATTTTTCGCCAGGTCTGATTTTTGGGCCAAAATTAACAACTTTTCATGCATATTCAGGGGGTCAAATTAAGGCTCAAAGTGCAGAAGAAAAAAGAAAGAAAGAAAGAAATAAATAAATTAAAGCCGCAAGCGGCGTCGAACGGCCCTCGCCGCACCGCGCGACTCCCTGCACC